AATGTTCAAGTGGTANGTATTGTAATTTTTCTCAAAATATATTTGTAATATTATNTACTATAACTAGAAAGTAATAACTTATAAATATAATTTATTCCACTTTTATGTCTTAAATTATAATAGTTTTTTTAGATTGGTGATCCTGAATTAAAAATCTTAAATGTAAATGCACGATATCCAGGTGCCCGACATGACGCGTATATATGGTCCAATTCTCCAATACGTCGAATAATGGAACGACGATACAACAATGGAGAGCGCAATACTTGGCTGATAGGTAAGTTGTATGTTGTTACAAAATGTATGTAAGAAAAAATACATATAACTTAATAAAATATATTTCAAATTTTCATTTGTTAGAAATTTTATATTGCGTTTAACAATAAGTGTGTTACGTTTTGCTTTATTTTACTAATATTACATATGTAATTGCTTATTTTTATCATAATGCAAATGGTCTGATGACAGACCGAAACATTTACGTTTTCTAATTTATTATTTATTAAATATTACATGAACACTTTGTTACGGCTGCTCAGTAGTCTTTTGATTTCTTAGATAATTTATAATCATTTCAGTCTCTTGACGTTATATAAAAAATTCATGTATATTGTTTATAGGTGATGATGGTTATGGCCTTGAACCATGGTTATTCACACCTTTAAAACATGAAATACCAGGTTCTCCAAGATATCAATACAATGAAGATTTGTGTAGTGCAAGGTCGTGTATAGAACGTTTGTTTGGTGTGTGGAAAGCAGTATTCAGATGTCTTTCAGCACAAAGGCGATTAATGTACAATCCTGATATGGCTGGTAAAATAGTCAATGCATGTGCTGTACTGCACAACATAAGAATTGCACATCGTCTGCAAGATATAGAAGTTGACGAAGAAGAAATTTTACGTCACGTTAACAGAAACTATAGAGTTGAAGGAAGACAGGATGAAGCTCTCCCAGGGCGAGCAATTGCAATGCGTGTACAAGAAAGTTTTATTGCACGTCAGTATGGTAGAATGTAAAATATGTTATATATAATATATTGTCATCGAGATATGTTACATATATCCTGTTACATGTTTAACAATGTAACGTTTTTACATCACTTATTCAATCTAACGAAATTGCAGAGATCTCACTAATTTGTTCCACTATTGTAATTCTTATCTTTATAATAAACTTTGTACGACAAACTAAATAAACTTACTCAGGTAACTCATTATTATAAATATTTTGGCTTTCATTACTTATATATATGTATGTAATGAAATATATATATATATATATATATCAGGTAACT